AGCATGCGTGATGACGGGTGTCAGAATGGTGATGGGGAGGTCTCGTTCTTTGAAGACATGCTTATAAACAAGTCCACTGTTTCAAGATCCGAGACATTCGAGGTCAATGAGAAAGGCTCACACGCGCTCTTCACCATGACCATTTGCATCTTCGCCATCACGCTGATCTTGGTCGTCGGTCTTTTGAGTGTGCCCTGCAACATCCTCCATATCTTCATCCATGCCTGGCCAAAGCACCTTTCTTTGCACCAGCCCCTGGACGTTCAGCACAGCCACCCAAATCCACAAAATCACAAGAACAATAGTAGCACCGCTACATACTCCCCTGATCCCCGGGCTCTCCAATGCCTTGGCAATTTGAATCAACGCAATGATAAGCCCTGCGTTTGGAAAGATGAACGCCCAGTAATTCAGTGTGAAGTGGCTGTCCCTTGCCGAGACAAGGACACTCACAGTCGTCAATGCACTGAACCAAAATGCAATAAGCCACATGAATATGCCTGCAACCACGCCAAAGACTTTCAAGATGTCGCCAGCCGGTACGGAAGCGATTCCCAGGAAATTATCGGGGACGTGGGTCGGAGCCTGCATACCCAGGGCAACAAGCGCATTTGCAGTGTACGCCGCCGGACCTACTGCGACATACATGCCCGGCCGTTTCGGTGGATCGGGAAGTTCGCTGTTGACGAGGCGAGTGACGTAGATCGTTAGCATGGTGAATGCTATGGTCCATCCTAAGCCTTGAAACGTCACACTTCCGATGAAGATGGGGAAACCTGCTTCCACGGGCTGCGACTTGAGAAGCGTGCTTCCCAGCACACCAAGGATCAAGAACGGGTAGACAGGTAGTATCCAAGCGGGCATCGCGTCTGAAACAGGGAGTTGACGTGTGTCGAATATGACGTGGTATTGGAACACTGCAACTAGCATGACTATAGCTGCGTACAACCAGAATAGAACTTCGAGCGTCTTGATAAGCCATGGTCCGCATGCGGGGACGCCATAGACTTCAATGCAGTATATTATCAGCGCTATGCTGACGAAGAATGAACCGAAGAAGAAACTCTCATGAGGGTGGTGGAGACTGAGCTTCAGGGATCCACGGTTGTGGATAAAGCGGTAGGTTATGCATGCGCTGAAGAGTAGAAAGAGTAGGATGTCCAGGATGAAGACTATCTTCCCTATAGTTTTCAGACCGGCAAAGGAGTAGGGTTGTTGGCCTAGTAGAGTGGCGAGCGCACCGGTCGACATTGTGCATTCGAACCATGACCACGTGAAGTGATCGAGGCGCCGTGTCCATGGTAGATATGACGGGTTGTAATTTTCCCGATCAACTGGCTTGGGCCGTCGTCGAGATGGCTTATTAAGGCTGTCCATGTTGCCTAGTTGTTCGGTTGATGGAATTGGGTAGTCTAGTTGTTCGGTAGAGGATGTGACTGACAAAGGCGCTGAGGAGCTTGAAGAGAACATTCTAATATAGTGGTGTGCTGAATAGAATTATAGTTTCCTTTGAAGCTTGACGTCGTCCTTGCATGAGCTTAAGCATTTGTAGACCGGGTTTGGAACAAGGATGTTTATGTAGCTGTCATACCGTAGAAATCTGCTTCTATCCACTAGCTTGAACTGATGAGATGAGGAATCGTGCAGGTACAAAATGCGAGCAATCGATCCAAGTTCAACCCGTAGGATTCGCGAAAGGCATAGGTCTTCGTTCTCACCATTGGACCATTTAGGTATCAAATTCTGAGGAATGAACCCTTCTCTTCTGATTTCCCTCGAAAATCTTGTCAGATTTGATGCGATGTGGGCACGATGGGCGTTGCAAAGTCGTGATGTCCCAATGACGTCTCTACTAGGCTAGCGTCGCTGTAAGGGACCTTCAACTCCATCTATCCCCCATGCCAAACCCGATTACCACTCACAAATCCATGTGTCTCTTGATGAAGCATACACACGGTCAAGCGTGTTGTGTCCTCTGCACCATTAAAAATGTGTATCTCAGCTGGTATGTGCCAGACGTTGAATCAATCGAGTGAAATGGGGAAGAGAACGCGGAGAAAGACTTTGAAGACGCAACGAACAAGACGCAACAAAATAACTTCAGTCCAACACCGTCATAGTTTCCCTGAAATGCATGTCAAGACCCAGGGAATCGAGAAAGGGCAGTGTGCGTATATGAGCTGACTTACCTACCCACCTCGAACAAGATTTTCTCGAGATGCCATTGCTACCAAGTACACAGAGCTTCTCCATGCGAATCAGGGACACCGGATAAGGAGCCCAGCCCCCAAGGCCTAGATCTGAGAATCTTCAATGTCGAAGGAGAGTAGGAACAACGACGCAAGATTTCTTCTTCAAGATACACCAAATAATTCGAGTTGGCTGATATCAAAACCACTCGAGATCATGTGACTTAGGGCGAGGTACTTTGCAAATACACGGAAATTTGCAGTTCCTCGGAGTATGAGGCTTATGTCATAAGCGCTCTTTTTGGGCTGCCTAACACATCTAACTAGAGTTAAGGGCTGATAGACACAGTCATCGTGCCGAATAGGAATATGATACGCCACACTTTTCATGCGCAAAGTGTTGTCAGATCTAGCAAATGGTACGGTCATATGGCCTTATCACCGCACTCGATGAGACGGAAAGTCGTACTGAGAAAGTTAAACGCACTAATCCTCGCGAGGGACTTCTTCATTGGCTGGCCGACAATTTTTCTAATGCAAGGTGTGAAATACGAGTCCGAGGCAAGCACACTCTCAAGACATGATTCCCTAAACTACAGACCCGGGTTTTTAGATCCAACTTGGTACATCGCCAGAGCACCACCTGGCAAGGGACGGAGACGGCTCTCTGGTTTGAGACCAAGCTACAGCACCATACCAGATTATAGCAACTACCAAATTTCCACTGTGAGATCCGCTGAGTGCTGCGCACGTATTGTTCTGGGTAGACTTTATGAAGCTGAACAATTGGGTTGCGCTAGCGAATTATAACACCACTCCCCACTGAGTAAGTAATAAACCAGAGCGCGAGGACATGAATGCCACGCAATCAACGGTGGATGACGTGGACGGCCTACTGTGGCTGACAGCAACAATTGCTTAGGCCCCGTAGTTTCGAGAACATGAGCAAAAGATTAATACGCCATAGTCAGATCACAACATGCAACAAGATGATCTTTGATGGCTGCCCTTAAACGCCACTGCGCCACCACGCGATCCCTCACACTCACTTGGCGTTACACGACCACACTCATACCCGAGCCCCAGCGTCGTACAAAAGCAACGCTGCCGGCTGCACCTCCGATACCATTTCCCAGCTTCGATCACAAGGTTGCAAGGCGTACAACAATCATCTGATCTCATGATACGCCAATCGGGCCTTTCTCATGTGTAAGACCAGAGCGATTGGGTGCCTACATGCCGCTGACCCTACAGCTGGAAATAGCCGGCCAATGAAGCTATCTGCGACCAACGTGTATATGCAACATCTCGTTACTTATATTCTATTTTGGGTAGTACGACTTATTGCATATTCTCAATGCGTGGTAGTGGATAATTCGTGCAGAAGCCGGCTTTTATGGGGAAAGTGGTCGAGGAGGAAGTATAAAGTATGGTGAACAGTCATGGAGAGTGCGCAAGTACCCTACAATACTTTCAATCTCCCCTGATCCAGGCTAAACACTCGTTCCAGTATAGAAAATGCTCTTCAATACACTCGCTCTCGTCTCGTTCATCGTCGGAGTTCAAGGTATCGGTCGTGCAATCGTCACAAATCAGTGCGATGAGCCGATCTACCTATGGTCTGTTGGCAGTAGCGTCGGTCCGCAGAAGACGCTCACGAAGGATACATCATACAGCGAAGTTTTCCAAAAGGATCCCGTATCCGGTGGTGTTGCCCTCAAGATCACAAACACAGAGGGCGGCCTCTTCAAACCGAACGTCAGCCAGATAATCTTCGCTTACAACCTCGACGCAAATCAGGTCTGGTACGACATGAGCGAGCTTTTCGGTAATGGGTTCTCGGGACGCACTGTGAAGGTTACGCCTACGGACCCGAGTTGTGAAACTATTAATTGGGCTTCGGGCAGCTCGCCGGCTGGAAGTTCAGTCAAAACCTGCCAGGCGGACACGGATCTGGAGCTGACGTTCTGCACGAATCACTGCCTGCCGAGTTGGTGTAAGCTCGCTCTCTTCCCATGTGAAGCCTATGAAGATGCTGACGTGATATCTAGATCCGTGTGGGAATAACGCGCCAAATGATACAAGGAGCTGCTGCACGCATTGCATAGGAAGTCACCATTGTGTTGCGCCTCCAATGTGAATGAGATCCTATCTCATATCGTGGAGTGGCACCGCGCTCACGTTCGCAAATCCATTCAGCTTATAATACTGCAGCATGCAACCTGTTTTTTTTTTGTAGAGACTAATTATAATGCGTAATATCTTGGATCTTGCCATTGCATTTCACGAACGATTTGTTTGCGTTAAATTTGTACAGTTAGGCTTGAAAGGTCTATAATAGACGTACCAGTCTGTGCAGTCGAAAAGCTACTATGCTGTTGACACAATTACCAGATGAAGTGCTCATCAAAATTGCCTCTCACCTGGAGTATTAGACTTACTCACATAGGTCTGCCAATGACTCCGCATGATCGGGTAGGAGGTCATGATAGAGAACAGTCGCGGCGTGCTGGTTGAAGATATATCAAAGATAGTTCGCATACTCCGATACAAACCAGAGAAGTGGCCTTATCTGCAAAAGGTTTAGCTGCGGCACAAACTGAACGCGGCATCCATTTCATTTTGCGGCTCTTCCAAATTTATTACCCAACATTGGACATTACTTCCACGACTGCGAAGTTGAAGAGTATCAAGAACTAAGCTATTCCGACCGAGGCGACCTTTAGCAAAAGGAAGCTCAGGCGTAACGTTCCGCATGGGGAGCCTGTTCATGTGCGTGGGGATTTCGAGCAAATCATTTGGCCAATGCGAAATTCACATCAAGGCCTGGATGGCTATTGTCAGGAGGTGAGGGACGCTCTTGGGGTTTGATCAGCAATCTAAGCTGGATCATGAACTATGTAACGTGCATCCATGGGTTACGCAAATCCCGCCGTGCCGTAGAATTTTAGAGGTACTTTAACTTTAATAATCTATACTTCCACTCACGCGTTAGTGTTGTGCCTAACTATACAAGAGTTGTGTTCTATAACCTTTCCTGTAGATATAGCGCCTTGTCTGTACAAAAATTCCACAGTCGTTATCCTAGAAGCGCAAGATATGCTATCGCTATTACATTATCTAAGCCAAAGCCCCGTTACTTCTTATACTACTAGATAATCTTAAAGAAGCTAGGCATGCCTTTAGTAAGGCTAAGAAATTAATGCTAGCTCTAAGACTAATACTGCGTTTAGATTTATACGTGATTGCTACCTCACCTAGTACTTCTTTAGGGAATGCCTTCTGTATATAGCGAGCTCAATACAGTATGCGGCAAAGTAATTTTCAGGGCGTCATCAAGTACGCTAAGCCCGTGGCTAAAATGGACTTCTACAACCAGCCAAAACTCAGGTCACGTGAGGTCAGTCACTGCGTGGCAAAATACTTCTTTATCTGGACCTCTGGACCTCCGGACTCCTCATATCGTGCCTGTACATAGACAAGCTCAGTGCACATTGATTCTGTAGCTTTTGTTCTCCCAATCAAAATTCCTTTCTTTCATGTGCTTTCCGCGTTATCTGCCCTTGACACGAAATGAATAGACCACCCAAGTCGCTATCTAAGCTGGGCTATCCTCACAGCGGCTGTAGCAGCGCTCAGTGCAGGTCCCAAGAGTGATCTCAGTTTGGACGTTATCAGCACGTCATCTCAACCCACTTCCGTCTATTATTGTACGCTTGACCAAAACATGCGTCTCTTCCGCACAGAAGGCACCTCTTATCCTACAGTCTTCGCACACATCCCAATCTCCGTTGAAGCAATGTCGGCAGTGGTAGTGAAAATCAGTTGCCCTGATGCTCGAAGTACAGACGTCGCATTGAATAGACCCTGAATCATCACTATGGTCGGGTGACGCAGTTTGTCCAGGATCAGTCGGTCCACACTCTTCAGATAGGAGTTCTGATACTGCACGGTGCCCCTTCTTCGTGGCTATCCAAAGTGGCGTCCTCCCGAATTTGTCGGCAATTCGAGAGTCGTACTTGTACTGGCTGATAAGCACTTGAACGGTAGTAGTCTGGCCGCCAGCCGCAGCCCACCAGAGTAGAGTCCGGTTATATGGATCTTGGAGCTGGCTGATGCTATCTTTCTCGATTAAATGCTCAAGTACTTTGTTATTGCCCGCATATGCAGCAATCTGGAGTGCGTTGCCGTAGAATCTACCCTGCGCGTTAACGTCGGCTCCCTTGTCTAGCAGCAGCTTTACTACCGCCTCGTGGCCTTTAGATGAAGCCGCCTCGAGTGCGTTGCAGTAGTATCCACCCCGCGCGTAAACGTAGCATCCACCCTGCGCGTTAACGTCGGCTCCCTTGTCTAGCAGCAATTTAGCCATTGCACAGTGCTCACGTTTCACTGCGTATATCAATGAGCCATCACCGTTACTATCCATCGCATTCACTGCGCATATTTCGCCTTCTTTTCGGCGCAGAAATTCCTTCGCCACATCACATAGTCCAAATCGTGCTATCCAATGTAAACCTGTCAGAGCAGGATAATGCGCACTGTACCCTCTGTACTTGTAGCTAGGCACCAATAGTACCTGTGCTGCACAGGAAAGTATGCCACTGTGGGTAACTAATGTGCAAACTAAGTGAGCAACCTTAGCTTCGACACATCTTGTATGTTCACCACAATGTTTGGCTGCGTAATCCAGGAATTCATGCTGACGCAGCCTCTCTTCAAAGTCTTCGTCAGTGGCACAGCTGCCGCTTTCGAAGACGCGGAACGATAGGTAGGTCAGACACGTCTCGGCTATTTTCAACTGTCCATCTGGGTTCAGCCTAGAGCTGATATGCTCCAAGTATACTTGCGTAGTGTAGTGCACAAGACGGATGATAGCACTCTCCTGATCGACAACAACAAGCCCAGCGCATACAGAGACTATGTCGTCCACATCGGGTTTGTTTTCTGGATCGAATTCAGCTTCGCCAGGCTTGACTGCTAAGGCGCAGCATAGCTCGGCAGTAGTGAGCGGTCGCTTCGCAAATGTAATCCACGTTAGAACGTTCTTTGCTAGTTTACAATGCTTAGCTCGTTGGCCTTCGATCCTCTCTACTGCTTCACTGTACGCATCATCGAGCGCAGCTGCACCTTTTGAGAATGTAGTGAGAGTTGATTTGACTTCTTTTGCTGTCGTATCGCCCGATAGGGAATCTATGTGTAGACGAGCCAGAAGAAACCTTGAGTATGTAAGTTTGTATCGCTGTAGAGATAAGAAGCGACTTACATGCCGCCGACAGCCTCTACTACACTGTCCTGCACTAATTTCTGCAAGGTTGCACTTCGCTGGACACATCCGGGTAACCGATGTGTTTGGCCAACCACGAACTGCTTAACGTCCTCATCGCTAGCCTCTACTTCTAGCCTCGATGCTAGCCGAAAAGCGTCTTCAATATCTGGCACAAACCGCGAGGTAACCATTAATCGCACATCTGTTCCCTTTTGCAGATCGAGGAGCTTCTTGCATAGCTGTCGGCGTGTTTCTTTCTGACACTCATCCAGCGCATCGACGACTATGTGAACGTACGGATACTGTGCGAGCACGTCTCGAAGAGCGCTGTATATATCAACGAGGGTTGGCTTCGTTCCGCGGCCGGCGTGTTTCTGATGTAGTTCTTCCACAGGACGAATCGTTGACGGTCGGCCCTGAACTAGCTGCTTGAGGATGGCTGCTAATATACCAACGATGTCCTGGTCCGCTTGAGATTTGTAGCTGCAGTAAACGTACGCAACGCCGTATGCGCCGATTTGCGCTGAGTCCAGAAGCTGATCGATTGCGATGGCCGCTACCATGGTCTTGCCAGCACCTTTGATTCCTGAGCAGAAAAGGGTGGTCTTGGCGTCGTCAAGCCATTGTGCCACTTCAGGTGCGTCTAGGAACCACTGGCCTGTCCCTTCCTGCCTGCGCTTTATGGTGTCCGATTGCTGAGCGGGATAGTCGCTCGACGATATCCATTCTAGAAGAATGCGCTGGGTTGCGGTGACTTGTACCTGCTGCACTTTGTTGACAGCAGACTCGATAGCCGATACGTGCGTCCGAATGGCGCCGGTGTCATCTTTGATAGCTTGGGAGAGTTTGCTTGCACGTCTAAGCTTAGTCGCTGGGTAGTCCTGGTACAGACACTTACAAGTGATCCATCTGTAACGCGAGAGGGCGCAGTTTATATAACCATAGAATTAGCGCTGCGTGAACTTATATTTGGCATAGGGTTAGGCCATGCCAAGCTCTACTAGCTAGCTAAGCAAGGTTAACTAAATATTATACTATAAGATTTTGTAACGTGTTCTAAACCTATTCTAAATATATTCTATACTAGTAATACTATAAGCTACTACTACTATACTTATTACTAATATATCCCTCTTATCCTATATAAGTAGATTAAAATATATTTAGAATATATTCTTAATAGGTTATAGAAGCACTATTAATAGTACCTTACCCTTAGCTGCGTCCTAGATAATATTAGGGCATAGCCTATAGTTAGCCCTAATAGGGTAGTTAAGATAGAGAGTAAAGAGCGCTACTACTATACTAAGATTAATAATAAGGGCACCTTATATAGAGTAAGAATAGGTTCTAAACGTGTTCTAAATAGGTTCTAATATTCTTAGGCTATTCTAGGTACTAGGGGCACTCTATATACCTATGCTAAAAAAGATTATAGGCTTAATATAGCCTACTATAAGGTTAGTAGGGTTAAGAAGACTAGCTAGCCCTCTATAATAGAGGTCTATAAGGTAAAGAGTAAATATATTATTAACCTATTCTTAACTTATTATACTAATATATATAGACTTCTATATAAAGGTTATATATAATTACTAGAATACTTCTTACTATAAGTTATTTAGAATATATTTAAAACTTATTACTAATATATTTTATAGAAGTTCTCTAAGCCTAGCTAGTAGCTACTATAGGCCCCCCTATAAATACTAATACCCTCCTAAATATAATTTAGAAGAAGACTTATAGTGAACCGACAGGGAGAGTAACCCATTCAAACGAGGAGAAGTGGGAGGGGCAAGGTTCAATAGTAGTGATCCCATGGTGGAGGATATGGGTTCAATGCAGAAACATGAGTGAAAAGATGATATTGTAGAGTTGAAGTGAAGTCCCCAGGAGTTGTTGTTGTCCTATCCTCTGATCCTTCATGCCTTTATACCATTCAATCCGCCCAACCTTTTAGGCTAAGCCTTGTTTTCCTCCCATACATCCCTCACCACGGCACAATAGTAGCTATAATAGTAATAAGGTATAGCCTATAAGAACCTATTAAAAATATATTACTAACTTGTTATAGCTTAACTTTATTACTATATCTATCCTACTAAGGATTTAAGGTTATTAGGTTCCTTATACTATCTATACTTATAATTATCCTAGCTATAGTAAGTTATTTATAATATATTATTAACCTATTCCTAATATATTTTAAGACTATTACTTTAATACTAGTATAGACCTTGCTAATTCCTGCTAGAATACTGCCTAGTTCTACTTGTAGTATGCTTTTGTAGAGCCTAGGGAGGATAGGGAGGATAGAGAAGATACTAGAGAGGGGGAGGGAGATAATAATAGTAATAAGTAGGAACATATTAAGAATATATTAAGAATAAGTTCTAATAAATAATATATAATAGTATATAACCTAAAAGGGTAGTAGTAATTACTAAAATAAACTCTCTACTCTTCTCTTTTTTTTTCTATCTACTAAAAGTAAAGTACTATTTACTTTTATAGGGTCCTTTAATAGTATATAACTTTTTTTTTTAACTTTTATAGGTATTATAAAGCTCTAGTAGTCCCTTAGATTAAAGAAGAATCTAGTATTTATAGGTGTCTAGCTATAATATATTATTAATATATTCTAAACATATTTTAAGAGACTAGACTTATATCTCCTTTTTACTACTTTTGCTAAATATTATTTATAGTGTAAAGGGGAGCAACTATTTACTCCTCTTCTTTACTCTCTACTTCCTCTTTAGCCTCTACTCTAGCTACCACTTCTTATTATAGACTAGCTATCTTAGAGGGTTCTTAAACCTTAGAGGAGGCACTTAGTATAGTCTACTCTACTAGCAGAGAACGTATTATTAACATATTTAGAACACGTTCTTAAGTATTTACTATTAAGCTTCTATAGAAGATCCTTGCTTCTGTAATACCTTGTATTATAGTTCTACTATAGTTTACTAGGGCTATTTAAACCTTAGGATAATACCTCTTAAGGTAGTAGATAAGATTGCCTCTATTAGAGAAGCAACACTAAAATAGTTATTAATATATTATAAACGTGTTCTAACTTGCATGTATATATACTCTACAAAGTTCCTATACCCCTAATCTAGCCTAAATAGCCTAGTAGAAAAGCTCGCTAGGAAATACTATATACCTATTATTTAGGTAGGATATTATAGGAGAGAATACCCTAGTATTAGATAGAAGTAACTTAAGCTTAATATATTACTAGTATAAATCCTACTTAGTGTTAGAACAAGTTTATAATATATTCCTAATATATTCTATTATATACTAACTTTAAAAGATCTTTATAGACTATATTAACTAGTTATATCTAATAATATTAGGAAAGATAGATAGTAAAATAGTATTAAACTTTTAAATATAAAAAGTTCTTATAGAGTATAAGAAGAAAGAAGAAGAAAAAGAAGAAGAAAGAATATATATTTATCTACTTATATATACTTATATAATAGACTAGAATATATTAAGAACTAGTTAGGAACTAGTTACTATATTTATAGACTAACCCTACCTTATATAAAAAGTAGCTATCTCTTTCTTAAGTTTAAACTATACCTTTTATAATTTAAATAGTGCCTTTTTCTATATAAGTTCTTCCTTATCTACCTCTAGCTTTTCTTTTCTCTTCTTTAAAGCCTAATTACTAAGAAGAGCTTTTTATTATAAAGTTTATAGTTATAGACTAATAATAAGTTAGGAATATATTATAAATATGTTTTATAAAGTATACCTTTAGGTTACTATTAGTAGAGGAGAAGAGCCTAGTAGTAGAGAAGATAGAAAAGGGGCTAGTAAACTTCTTTCTAATACTGCTCTACTACTTGCCCTCTAGCTTTAGGCTTTTAAGCATACTCTTTTATTTCTTATTAGGACTTAGATATATCTAGTTAAGTTAGATATAGCAAGACTTGCTTTATTATTATCTAGAGTATTATTATTATTATAGGACGCGTTCTAAACATGTTCTAAACATGTTTTAATTAGTAAATATATATAACGCTAGTATAAGACTTACTTTCTCCCCTCTAAAGCTTTTTAAGGTACCTTTGCTTAAGCCTATTAGGAGTTCTATAGTTATAGCGTATTCTAAACTTACTCTAGGCTTTAAACTCTTTTATATCCTATAGATCTATCTAGTGTATACTATATAATATTACTTATATAATTCTAATAGGTTAAGAATAGGTTATAAACTTACTTCTAAGTAGCCTTAAGAATACTTATATGCTTACTAGTTTTATATCCTTTCTAGCCTACTTGCTTAGCTATATTTAAATAAGATTCTAGTTTTTCCTATACCTCTTTTAATATTTTACTATAGTATTGTATAATCCTAGTAGTAATTACTAGGTTTTTCTTATAGATTACCTAGTTTTAGGTATCTTTAGAGGGTTTATGTTCTAATTATATAAGAATAAGTTAGGAACACGTTTAGAATAGGTTTAGAATATATTTACTTACGTAAGAGGAGGTTAGCAAGCTAAAAGTATTCCTCTACTATTAATACTTATAGTAATTTACTTAAATATAAAGAGGTAGTATTATCTAGCTCTCTTTTATATACTTTATAAATACTTCTTTATAGATATACTTAATAAAATCTTATACAAGATTAAAGTTGCTAGCGCTAGTTACGCTTATAGGGATTAATTAACTAGAGATAGCGCCTAAGTCCTAGAAACAAGTTAGAAACACGTTATAAACATGTTGTAGTGCGCTATAAAACTTGCCTATTATCTGCTTATTACACATGTTAATAGTAGTCCTATAGAATCCCTATAAGTAAATATACCTTTATAACACTTATCTTTTTATAAGTGCTTTATACTTCTAAAAGAAGTTAGTAATAGCAACTTAATATATCTTAGTTATATCCTTATCTATAATAATTTAGCTAAGTATAATAACTATAATATATTAGAAATATATTATAAACCTATTCTTAATGCGTACGCTTCTTTTCCTATAGGTAGAAGATTACTATTAGAATCTCTACCTATACCCTATATAACCTCTTATATAACATATCTATCTAGAATATATCTTAATCTAATAGAATTAATACCTACTCTTTAAAAAGGTAAATAATTAAGTTACCTAAGCTTAATATAAAGATTTACTATATATACGCCTATAGTAACGTGTTAGTAATATATTCTAAACCTGTTCTCTTACACTATATATAGTTTTAGGATTCTAATACTTTATCCTCTACTTATAGTATACTCCTCTAAGACTACTCTTAAATAGAAACTATAGAAGCTTTTTACACTTTATAATACGCAAGATTTTATCTTTATTTATAAAGCTAATATGTATTTCTTTAATAGAATAGAAACCTTTAAGTTAGAGATAGGTTTAGAGCTAGGTTAAGTTTAGGAACTAGGCTATAATAAGTTAGGAATATATTTATAACAGGTTATAAATAACTTATATTATATAAGCTATAGAGTAAGTATAGGCTATAATACCTTTACTACTTCCTTAATATTACTATTAGATAGTGTTAAGGGAGGAGGAGGTATATATATATATATACTAAAAGAAATAATAGTAAAAAAAGGTATTACTACTATATCTATTAGTATAATTACTTAGAAGGTAACTTTATATAGGATTTTAAATAGAGATCCTTGCCCTTATAGATAATTAACGCCTAGAATATATTAGGAATATATTAGGAATAGGTTGCAATATACCTACTACACTTCTTTATCTATCTTAACTATAGCTTAACTATAGAATATAAAGCAGGACTACTAGAAAGATTTAATATCTCCCTAGTTAGAAGACCTTATAGATATATAGAGTCTACCTCTAGTAGTACCTAACTAAAATAATATTTTTTCCTAGTAGTAGATATT